ACCAGCCTAGGCAACATAGTAACACCTGTCTATATAAAAAATTTATTAAATTAGCTGGGTGTGGTGGTGCACACCTGTAGTCCCAGCTACTCTGGAGGCTGAGGTGGAAGGACTGCTTGAGTCCAGGAGGCTGAGGCTGCAGTGAGCCCTGATCGTGCCACTGTACTGCAAGAGAGAGAGAGTGAGCGAGTGAGGGAGCGACAGAGAGAGAGAGAGAGAGAGAGATCCATTTGGGAAAAAAAGAAAATAAAACCCAACTCTTGACTGACACCGTTGTTATTGTTACTGGCATGGCTGTTCCATGGTGGGCTTGGTGACTTAAGGCTGCAAGTCAGATTCCCATCCACAAAAAATAGAAGTAAAAATGCTAAATATAATCATTACAATAATGTACAGTACACATCATAGATAAATAGGCCAGTGGAACAGAACCATTTGATACATGATACAAGAGACATTCCAAGTCAATGGAAAAAGGCTATTCATTGACTTAGAACCAACCCTCTCTTTGGGGAAAATATTTAAGTTAGATTTGCAGTGCAGATTGTTTATAAAAATCAGTTCCAGATGGACTTAAGTGCCAGCTTAAAAAAGAAAATGGAAGTATTAGAAGAATTGGGAGAATTTGCTTAGAATCCAGAGATAATTAAAAGCCTTCTTAAACAGGATACAAAAGATAAAAACTAAATTTAAAACATCTGTATGACAAAAGATACCATAAACATAAGTCCAACAGAAATGGGAATTTTGGCCAGATGCAGTGGTTCACGCCATTACTCCCAACAATTTGGGAGGCTGAGGCGGGAGAATCACCTGAGGTCAGGAGTTCAAGACCAGCCTGGCCAACATGGTGAAACCCCGCCTCTACTAAAAATCCAAAAAAATTAGCTGGGTGTGGTGGTGCGTGCCTGCAATCCCAGCTACTCAGGAGGCTTAGGCAGGAAAATCACTTGAACCAGGGAGGCAGAGGTTGCAGTGAGATGATATCGCACCACCGCACTCCAGCCTGGGCAACAAAAGCAAAAACTCTATCTCAAAAAAAAGAAGAAGAAAAAAGAAATGGGAATTTAGAGCAGCATTTTCCCATAGAACCTTCTGCAATAGTGGAAATAGTTTACATCTGAGCTCTTAAGCCACATATGTTTACTGAGCACTTGAAATGTGACTAGTGCAATTAAGAAATGACATTTTTAATTGTATTTAAGTTAATTAATTAATATTTATTTATTTATTTATTTTTGAGATAGAGTTTCCCTTAGTCACCCAGGCTAGAGTAAATGGCGCGATCTTGGCTCACTGCAGCCTCTACTTCTGAGGTTCAAGCGATTCTCCTGCCTCAGCCTCCCAAGTAGCTGGGATTACATGCGCCCGCCACCATGCCCAGCTAATTTTTGTATTTTTAGTAGAGATGGGGTTTCACCATGTTGGCCAGGGTGGTCTCAAACTCCTGACCTCAGGTGATCCACCCAACTCGGCCTCCCAAAGTGCTGGGATTTCAGGCGTGAGCCACCGCTCCCATACTTAAGTTGATTTAAACCTAAACTTAAACTAGAAGAGTTCTATATGGCTAGGCCATGTGCTGGACAGTGCAAGTCCAGGAAAAAATATGTGCAGATATAGAACAAATGCTTAGTATCCAGACTATAAAACAGACTCCTATACATGATAAAAAGAAGTTCTGGGCCGGGCGCGGTGGCTCAAGCCTGTAATCCCAGCACTTTGGGAGGCCGAGACGGGTGGATCACGAGGTCAGGAGATTGAGACCATCCTGGCTAACCCGGTGAAACCCAGTCTCTACTAAAAAAAATACAAGAAAAACTAGCCGGGCAAAGTGGCAGGCGCCTGTAGTCCCAGCTACTCAGGAGGCTGAGGGAGGAAAATGGCGTGAACCCGGGGAGGCGGAGCTTGCAGTGAGCTGAGATCCGGCCACTGCACTCCAGCCTGGGCGACAGAGCGAGACTCCGTCTCAAAAAAAAAAAAAAAAAAAAGAAGTTCAACCCCACTAGTCATCAACAAAATGCAAACTAAAAGTGTAGCATCTTTCAACCCCTCATACCAACAAAAATTTAAAAAATCAATAATACCTCTACTTTACAATATGCGTGGACACTACACAGAAGAACTAGTATACACATAGGTAATCTGAGAGCATAAACTGGGGCAGAATTTGTGGAGGACAATCTGACAGTGTTTATTAAAATTAGAAGTGTGGAGAGCCTTCTGGCCCTTTCCAGCCAGCAATTCCATCCCGTGTTCACCTAAGAAATACGGACATACGAGTGTAAAGAGGAATGTCCAGGAATATTCACTGAAGTGTTCTTTGTAATTAGCAAACAATGAAAAATAACTTAATTATCCTAAAAAATAGTTCCCTTCATAATATGGAATACTATGCATCGACTAAAAAGAATGGAAAAGAACTATGTATGCCAATATGAAAAGATTCTCAAAACATTTTAAGAGAAAGCAAAAAACAAGTTGAAAAACCATATGAATCATCTGATTGAATTCATAAAAAATTAAACCATATGTCTCTACAAATGTACACAGGGATGATCCAGGATGAGTTACACCAATCTGAGACCGGTGGTTGTGCTGTGTCCATCAGGTGGCTGATGGCTGGTTCCCCCTCAGCCCTCTCCAGCCAGAAAGATGACTGCGGGCCAGAAAGCCCCAGGATGCCAGGACAGTGCCGTCACATCCACCTGCCAAAGGACCCCTGGCAGACATAAATGACTGGGTTGGGTGAGGTGCTAAGCCCAGGAGCATCCCTGGAGGCCCTGGAGCTGAGGTGGAGTGTGCTGGGGCTCCAGCAGCCCCAGGCACACTCCCGAGGGTTCAGGTATCCATATGAAGAGCGCAGGCCACTGGCCTGCCCGTGGAGACTCCTGAAATAATGGCACCGCTCCTCAGTCATCATGAAAAGAATCATGTTTTAGGTTTTAATGGTTCCGATAAAATTAAAAGGTGCAAAGCACGGATTATTGCTTAATGAGTACAATTTCCCAGGTGATGAAAATGTTCTGGAAATAGATGGCGGTGAAGGCTAAACACTGAATGTACTGATGCCACTGAACCGTACACTTAAAAATGGTTACAATGGTGAATATCATGCATATTTTGCCACAATAAAACACACACACACACAAATAAAAATTAAAAGTTGCTTAAAAGGGGTAAGCTGTCAATTGTCTGAAAAACAGGGTCCTCCAAATGAGTGGTTCCCTCAGTCTGGCCAGAGGCCAGTCCCCACACGCCTCCGTGTCTCGAGCAGTCTAGCCTAGTGTTTTCCAAACTCTTCCCTAAAACCACAGGGTTCCCCAGAAGCTGCCATAGAGAGGAGAGAGGGCCCCGGCTGACTCCACAGCTCACATCAACCAGAGCAACCTCACAGTGACTCAGGATCCCATGTATGAGTCTGTGTAGGGAAAGAGCCTTCTATAACACGCTGCGCTCTAAGTTCCACTGGAATTTCCAAAACACACATGCAGCTAGGGTGCTCCTGTCACGCACCTGGCTCCTCAGACAGGCACGCAGGTACATGGCTAGGCTCCCTGAGGGTCTGTGTCCACATACCACACTGCCACGCTTTGCACTTGCGGCCACGTTTCTCCTTTACCCCACTGCCTGATTTTTGTCTTAGTCTTGGGTCTCCTGACATGATATTCCTGGGAGGGGAGGCGGTTCTTCCCACAGGGGCAATGAGGCAGGGGCCCTGAGGTCTATGGGGCAATTCCCCTGGGAGTAGAGGGAGGTAAAGAAACCCGAGTCACACTGTGCCGAAGGGCAGGGCTCCCAAGGGTGCCCGGCGTGCTCTGGACTCAACCCTGCTGAGGGGCCTAGAGCCCTTCTGCAGCCGGGCCACACGCCACTGCAGCCAGGCCACACACCACATGCGACCGGACATGCCAGAAAGGGCTGCAAGTGCTACTCACAGACGCCAGGGGCTGCTCCACCTCAGGCACAGGGATGCTGGGCAGGGGCTCCAGTCAAAAGCACGTGACTGTGCGGGGAAATTTTCCACTGGCAGCATGTATTTCATCACAACCAGCTCTAAGCGGCTTAGCCAATAAGGACCCTGAACTCTGAGTGACCTCCAGGAAGCATAAATGGACTGAACTGAAGACACTGTCCTGACTGATGAGCCGCAGCTTTGTTCCAACTGTCCTACCTAGAGTGCCAGCTTTCCATGCCTAATTAGTATAACCCCACAAACTCCCTGTTCTAGCATGTAAATAACACCTCAATTTCTACAAGGCATGGGTGCACATGTGTCCCCTTGCCAGACAAGTTAATGGACCAGGCTTTGTCATTTTTTGAGCTCCCATAGCCTCTGTCATTGTTCCATTCTTTGACATGGCTGTCCAAGCCCTGGTCCCCACCCTCAAATTCTGCATCAGTGGGATGTACTAGCTACTGGCTGAGGGCGTTGGCTTGCGCCTGGCTTCAGAAAAGATAAGGGCACGCGACCTCAGCGGAGGAGACCCTGGCTCCCCTGCCTCCTCTCTCTTCTCTCTTACCTGTGCGGTCACCAGCCAGGCCACCCTCCATCCCTGGAGGCCTCCCAGCATCAACACCAGCTGTGTCCCTTTCCTGTCATCTGTCAGAAAGAGAAGCAGAAGAAAGAGAATGGGCCTGTGGGACAAGGACAGAAGTCAGGGTCCCCAGCCCCCCTCCCATCCCATAAAGCACTCTCTTTTCCAAAGAGCTTTTCTATCCATAGCCACATTCGACGTGGGCAGGGGCTCTTTCATTGTACGCATACCTGCTGAGAAAGTAAAAGAGCCCTAATTCCCATTTTACGAAAGAGGAAACTGAGACCATGAAGGACCCCTGATGTGCCCAGAGTCATGGAGGTGATGAACGGCAGAGCTGGACAAAATCCCAGGTCTTCTAACACCCACACCAGAGCCCACACCCTCAACATCCGCAGGGCAGCGTGTGATGGACGCCATACCTGAGAAGCAGGAGCCTGGAGTAAGGTTAGAGATATGTCTGCAACTGACCATGAGGAATGCACCTGGAAGGCAGAACGGCCCTACATGTTTCCTCAGTCACCAGCCCCCTCTTTCAAAGTCCTCATCCATGTTCTAGCACAAACCCCTCTGGGGAGCTTCGGGGCCAGCCGTCTCCATACAAGAACACACACGGTCAACTGGGCATTGCAAAGCCCACGCCCAGTTCGCTGATCTAGGATTCATCTTTTTTTTGTTTTGTTTTTTTTTGAGATGGAGTCTTGCTCTGTCTCCCAGGCTGCAGTGCAGTGGCAAGATCTCGGCTCACTGCAAGCTCCGCCTCCCAGGTTCACACCATTCTCCTGCCTCAGCCTCCCAAGTAGCTGGGACGACAGGCGCCCGCCACCACGCCCAGCTAATTTTTTGTATTTTTAGTAGAGATGGGGTTTCACCATATTGGCCAGGCCGGTCTCGAACTCCTGACCTTGTGATCCACCCACCTCGGCCTACCAAAGTGCTGGGATTACAGGCATGAGCCACCGTGCCGGCCCCTGGCGCTTCACCAGCCTAACTCCACTTCCCGTTTGGAGTTAGTCACCAGCCTAACTCCACTTCCCGTTTGCTCTCTAACATTTTTGCCACCTGAAGTGATCTTAACTTGTCTGTTCTCCACCACACCAAGGCCAGGAGCTCTTCATGCTTGCCACCGGATTCTCAGGGCCCAGAGCAGAGGGCACACAGAGGGCCTGTAACAAACGCAGGTGGCAGGAATGTGCTGCTCCACCTGGCCAGGAGCTGTGCAGCCTGAAGACTCATCTCCTCCTCGCTGGGGGCGCGCCTCTCCTAAGGACAGGGATGTGGTCCCGTGCGCCTGTACCCCCTAGCAGAGCAAAGACGTGGCTGCCCCACGGAGATGCGCAGCTCATCCTTCCTGCTGCCTCAAGGGAGGGGCTCTTCCAGATTTCAGTCAGCCCTTCCTCCCAGGCACCCTGGTTCGGCCACCCTCACAGAAACACCCACCCAGGCCCCAAGAGCCTCGCAGAGACCCAGCCTACCTCTCCCAGGTCCCCTTCAGAGCCCAGACACTGGGGAGCACACACCCAGACTGGGGATCTGGACCCTGACAAGAGACATGGGGGGAGGGGTGAATATGAATCTAGAAAATGCAGAAAGTCATTTTCCCTCGTACAAAGAGAGGAAGAGACACCCCCTTTTTCAAGAGCAGTTTAGAAACTTCTAATTAATAAGCTCTATCTCTGTCTTTTTGAGATGTATGTGATTTATTTTTTATTTTTTATTTTTGCAGTAAATGCTCCTCAAGTAGAAATAAATCTTTTTAAAAGTTAAATAAGGCTGGGCGCGGTGGTTCATGCCTGTAAACCCAGCACTTTGGGAGGCTGAGGTGGGTAGATCACCTGAGGTCAGGAGTTTGAGACAAGCCTGGCCAACGTGGGGAAACCCTGTCTCTATTAAAAATATAAAACTTAGCTGGGCATAGTGGCACACGCCTGTAATCCCAGCTACTCGGGAAGCTGAGTCAGGAAAATTGAACTCAGGAGGCAGAGGTTGCAGTGAGCCGAGATTGTGACAGAGTGAGACTCTGTCTCAAAAAAAAAGCTAAATAAGCCTTCTGCCAACATTACAACCCAGGACTGTCTTTCCCAAGGTCCTGGGGGCCACTTCTTTGAAATTTAAAGATCAAGGAAGACACTACCCCTGCCTCCCAGTCTCCATGGGAGGGTAGGAGCCTAACTTCAGCAGGCGCCTGGCTCCAAATCACAAACCTATCTCCTGTCATAAAAATATGAGAACTTTATTTTTGCTGTGGGTAAAGGCAATTAGCTAACACAGATGGTCACTCCAATTACCACGTGAATTTAGGATGACCTGCGTGTGACAAATGGTAATGTCCAGTCCTCTTGCTGGAGGGCTGGTGGCTGTTTACCCTCGGAACATGTCTGTAACAGGCCGCACGCGCTGGCTATATGCAGGCTGAGAGCTCCCGTCTTTGCAGTCACTCAGGGGATTGTCTGTGGTGCGCACCACATTCTGGTTTCATGCACATTCAATCTTTTAAAAACTGTTTTTCTCTTCTACTTTTGCAAAGAGCTTTTCTGGGTTTGCAAGCGATTTTGTTTTCACTTCTATTTCCCCTACAGGGGTCTGTAAGCATGCCTACTATGGTTTCTTACCGACACTCGAACCTGCTTGTGGTGCAGGGAAAAGGTGAGCAGTGGGGAAGGGGGCTGGAGGGGCCCCTGGTGGGGCTCTGATGGGTGCTGGGGGGCTCCTCCCTCCCATGCCACCCTCCTCCCTCAGGGCCACTCTGTGAGCTTCTGCATGCCACATCTTGGGAAACCTCTCACCAACTGGACTTAACATCCACCTAAAGAGGCGCAAAGGGGCTAGTGGACAGAGAAGCCACCTTGGTAAGGGGAACTCAGACTGAGGAGGGCAGAGCCCAGGCCAGAAATTCAGGAGGACAGAAGGATGGGCCTGGGTCTACACAGAGTGAGACCTCCAAGGCAAATCAAAGACAGTCCTCCTTCACCCACCCTGCCTCCCAAGAGGTATTAGGACCTAACAGCCACTCCGGGTAGTAGCAGGCCTTCCACTGTCCAGGACCTCCCAGAGCAGCTGCCTCAAGCCTCAGTGCCTCTGCCTCGGGCCATACCAGGGCTCGAGGGGAAGCAGCTTGTGGCTTACATAAGAACAGAAGTGGAGACAGAAGGAAGAGGACCCAAGAGGAAGAAGTGAGAAATTCAAGGGGGAAACAGAAGACAGGAATGAGGGGAGGCCAAGTCTTTGGAGACCCGCCTCTACCTGTGTGCTCAGGTGGGCTATGTCTGGGAAACAGCACAGCAGGTGTCCTACAGACAAAATCCAGGAAAGCCCTCCATGTGACACATTCTAGGCTGGCCAGACACCACATGTCTCCACCCTAAGCTTCTCTCCTATTCTGCCTTTTGCTCTGCTCTGCGCATGGCGGGCCCCTCCTAACCCACCATCCTGACACGTCCTCGGCCACCTGGAGACACCCAGGAGCCAGGTGAGCAGGCTGCCCAGCAAAGCTCCCCGGCTGGAAGACAGGCGTCAAGGGCCAGACGCGCCATCTGCCACCAGTGCCCACACCGAGTCTTGGAAGGCCGCTTCGTCTATCGCACAAGGGACCCTGGACCCCTACCGGACCACCTGTCTTCTCTGCTGCCCCTCGGGCTCTGAGGGGAGCAGGGCACACAGGGGCCCCCTTCCCACACCTGGCTCTGGCCCGGCCCTCCCCGCACCGGGTCAGGCTGCAGTTCAGTAAGAGCCCGACAGTGGGCAGGCCTCAGCCTGGGCCCAGCTGCCATGACAACTGAGGACCAACCACACAAAGAGGGGATTGAGCTAGCAGCAGGTGGAGAGGCCCGGGGCAGGGGGAGGCAACAAAGGAGCTTTGGTTGTGGCAGAGACTTGGGGGCGGGGAGGCCAGACAGCAGCTGGGGGAGGAGAAAGGCCACAGGCCAGAAAGAGGCAAGGTCGTCCCCATCGCTGCCCCTGGAACCTCCCACCAGCCCAGCACAGCTCTCACAGCCTCAGCGCCCCAGGTCAGGCAGTCAGAAGCAGACCATGCCGCAGGTATCATCTGCTGCCAGTGGAGCGGGAGCAGGATCCACCACCAGGCGCTAAGGCTTTGGTGGGTGGGGGCAGCTCCCCAAACCCCAGCCAAAGGCCCAGTATCAGGCCCTTCTCAGCCCTGAGGTCCCAGCAGGTCCTCACTTGCTGGGCACTGTTCAGCTGGTCTTCTGTAGGAGACCTCCACAGAAACTGGCCTCCCCAGTCCCAGCCCATGCCCAGCCAATGCCTCCCTGCCCATGCTGCCCCCTTCTACGGCCTCGTCCTTCCCAACTCCACCTGGTCCCCAGAGCCTCCCTGCCCTCTCCCCCAGCCCATTCCTGCTATGTCCTCACCTAGTTCTCTCTCCCTGTGAGACTCCCTCACTCAAGTCAGCCCCAGGGAACGGGGGCTTGCTCCCATGCCTGCACATCCCTCACATGTAGAAGGTGTGTAATGTGTATTCAATGAATGTAAGAATGAGTGAATGAAACAATGGAGGACTCAAGAGGTGGCTCCTCAGGCTCCAGTCTTCTGTCACTATCAAGAAATCCCTCAGGACCAGGCAATGGTATTCTCTGCCTGATTTCAGTTAACAGCAGATGGTTTTAATTTAAATATATGACCATAGGGACATGAGAAACTGATGTAAACCACACACAAACATACCCAGATACAATCATATCTAAATACAGCTAAGTAAACAAAAGTTCAAAGACACAAAACTACATGAGAACACCTGCAAAACTGTCTATGCAAATAGAGAATGTGAGATATTTTTTTAAACTCACAGACACACCTACAGATCCACAGACACACAAATATGCCACTGTGAACCAGGTCAGCACCAATCATTGCACAGCACACCTACAAACACAGAAATGCAAAGTCACCCACGACACAAGCATCCTTGCACACCCATGGCCATCCTATCACGCCCACTTGCTCCAAGGGAAAGAACTCAGAGAGGTAGAAACAGAAGCAACATACCCTCATCGAGCCAGGAGGCTAGGCCGCGAGTCACCATTGGATGACCTGTGCCGGGTGGGATAGGTCAGCAGGAGCTGCAGCTGGCTGGAGAGGCGTTACAGCGAGACAGAAAGCCCTAGAGACAATGAGCCTGTGTCCAGCAAGCCTCGTGCAGCCTGAGATCCTCCAGGGCCTGGCCTGTGGGCTCTGGACCAAGGGGATGCAACGGGTCCTCTCCCCTTCAGTCAGCTTTGGGTGACCTGAGCCGCCACCTGGCTGGCTCCTCAGCCCTAGTCTCCCCCTCGAAGCCCACTGCCTGAGGCTGGCAGGGACGGCCTTCTCAAGGCCACCCTTCCTGGTTTCTCCCCTCAGGACCCCATGTCTTAGTCAGGAGTCCCAAGTCCCAGCCCACCCATCACTGAGCCGCTGCTAGTCCCTGGCCAGTCATTGTAGGGCTTTGAGCTCAGGTTCCTGATGGCATGGGTGAATGGAAATACCTGCTCTCTGAGTTTGGGAGGAGTACCGCAGGGCAGCAAGCCTGAGCTGGATGCACCGGGCAGTGTCTGTACAAGCCTCTCTGCCACTGCCCCCGCTGCTGCTCACTCTTCCTAAGCCATTACTCCTTCCAGCCACTTGGGAATCTCAGAGGCCCCCAGCGCCACACAGGAGCCTCCACACTCCACCCCGCAGGAGGAAGAGGGTTTGCCACGGCTGTGGTTGTGGCACTGTCTGTAAAGCCCTCCACTTACCAGGGCAGTTCTGCATGCCCCTCCCAGAGGTCCCAGCCCAAACCAGGTGGGCATCCCCTCCCCCACCTGGAGGCCTCCATCCCCACATCCAGCATCAGCCTCCCACCACAACTCCCCTGTCCCACCCACCATGACCCACCCTGCTCCTGTCCAACTTCCCGGATCCCACTCAGCACAAGGCCACCCCCACTGTGACCACTCTCCCAACCCTGACCCTTCCCCTCTTTCTACTCCACCATCTCCAGACCTCAGTCTCTCAAACACCCCAGTCCTCAATCTGGGGAGGGAACAGAGGAGGGGAGCCAGGGGAAAGGGCAGGCTGCCATCCCACCCAAAGAGCAGGCCATAGTGGAAAAGGCCGTTGAAAAGCTCCAGACAGGGACTGAGATTGGGTTTGCTTCTGGTTAGCCACGTGATCCCAGGCAAACCACTTTCCTTCTCTGGGCCTCAGTTTCCCCACCTAAAAATGGAAATAACACTTGCTCGTGGTATAGAATTGTTATATTGAGTGGGGCAGGGGCGGTGGGGGGAGGGACGGCGAGATGCGAACAGTGTGAGAGGACTCTCAGAGACATTCCCAAGGTGCAAGACAAATTCGATTTAGGTCATTGCTGTTGCCATCACCCGCTCCCCATTCAGGGTTATAAGAACTGTACCTCAGGGTATGAACAGCCAGCCAGGTTTCATGGCTTTAGTTTGCTCCTGTCAACATTCCCAGGAGACCTCATCTGCATGCAGCCAGGTCACTTGCCTTATCCACTCTGCCTGCCCACCTCCCAGAGGTCCCCAATTCAACCCCAGCCATGATCCTGAGGTACCTCCTTCCAAGACTTCCTTCACCCGCCAGAGGTAAACACCCTTGCTGGAACTGTCCCACCCACACCTCCCCTGCCCCACAGCCCTGCCCCCTCCTCCTCAGCCACCTCCCTTCAGAGGCGAGAGCTGCACTTAACATTCCTCCGCCCCAAGTCTAATACTCAGGAACCTGTCAGGGCCTGGATCTGAGCTGAAGGTCGAGGACAAACCCAGCTGCTAACAGTCTCTGAACAGGTGTCACATTTTAATTAATACACACGTTTCCATCCCTTGCTGCATCCAAAGGACCTTGGAAAACGAAAGTGAGATGGAGCAGGGACCCCTTCAGGCACCTGCTGCGCCCTCCAATCATGAAAATAAAGGAAAATCTTGAGTTCTTTCCAGGGAAATTCCAGGCACCTAGCTGGTCCTGAGAAGTAAATGTGCAACCTGATAAGGTAACTGTAGCTAAAACAACAGCAAGGAAGTTCGACCACACGAGACGTGTGGTTGCCTATACAAACTAAAGGTAACATCTTAGAGTATGTCCTTGAGTTGTTTTTCAGAAACCCAGACCCCCACCAAATGGACTTGCTGGCACACACACCTCAGATAAGGGGGAACTGAGAATTCAACTCTGCTCATCTTTCCCCATTGCACCCCGAGATGCCCCATGCTCTCGTGGCTCTTGAACTCACCATGTCCTCGCACCCTATGACCAACGTTGGAAGGCCCTTGCTCAATTCTCCCCTTCCCAGTCCAGATTAGGGATCGCTTTGACCAGGAAGCCTTTTTGGACACACCAGGCTCAGCCAGGAGCCCCTTCTCTGTTTAACCTGTGCACCCAGGACCATCTACATGGAATCATCATCGTCATCAATATTTTGTTAGTCTGCACAAGACTACATGCATCTTAACACAGGGTCCTTCTCTCTCCCCTGCACCCAGTACAGGCCCCACACACAGTAATCCATTAATAAAAACTGTCACAAGGGAACACTTAAAGAAATTTCAGTACAAAACAGATTTGAAGCAAGGAAGCATGAAACCTTCAGCCTGAAAGGAGACAACCGCCATCTAATCTCTTCATTTTACAGATGAACATGGGAACAGTTGGCTGTGAAGCCTTGGACTGTCGTGGGCCTCCAGCCCCTGGGGCTCTGACCACACCCAGCCCCAGTTCAGATCATCTTGCTCAAAAGGCTGAAGGAGGCCCCATCTCCACACCTTCCACATGTAGATAGATATCCTCAACGTTCTTCACAGAGGGGATGCCCGCACCCACCCCACCGAATTCGCGGCTGCTGTGCCCATCTTCCTGGAGAGGAGTTCTCCGCCACACCCGACACCACACCCTTCCAACTTCTGCGGTGCTTCCCTCTCACTTATCTCCACCCCCAATCCTTATCCCCGCTCGTTTAATCACACATTTATTGAGCACCTACTATGTGTCTGTCACTCTGCAGCGAGCACTGGGGTTCCCGCCCCCAGAAGCTGATCTATCAGGGAGACGGACAGGAACCGGGAACTCGGAACAACGGGACAGCCCAGGAGGGGCCGCCCGCGGGCGACCCCTCTACTCGCCACCGCGTCCTCCCTCCGTCCTCACTAGCCTCCCTCCCGACCTCGCTGCCCTGGCCTGGGGCCCTCCCCACCCTCGGCCGCGCCCCTTTCCCCTCGGCTGTGTGGGGGCAGGGGAAACGCTTGAGACCCGGGGCTCGGGGGACGCGCGGGCTCGGAGGACGCGCGGGGCTCGGGGCACCCCAGGTCCCCGCCCCATCACTCCGCCCCAGCCCGAGCCGGGCGGAGGCAGCACAGGAGGAGCGGGGCCGGGCGCTGGTCCATCCCTCGCACCGCCCCTCCCCGCCCGAAATGCAGAGGGACTCGGAGGGAGGCGACAGGGAAATAAATACCTTTGACTTTGTGGCTAAGGTTAACGGGAACTGCCACCCCGAGGGCGACTTGGGCACCGGGCTCCCGGCCCTGGCCATTCCCGGGGCAGGCGGGGCGGGTACGGGTGTCTGATTGGCTGGCGGGCCTGGCCATCCCCGGGGCCGCCCAGCCACCCCATTGGCTGCGCCGCTCAGATGACCCGGCAGGCCCTATCGGAGCAGCCCGCGGGGCGGCCCCTTTGTTCTCTGGAGCCAATAACCGAGGGGGGAGGGCTGACCTCGGCCCCAGTGGGCGCGCAAGGCCCGGGCGTCGTGAACGCGCTAGCAGCCGGCCGCGGGGCCGCTGGACCCCGGGGAGGAGGTCTCGGGAGCTCGGACTCCAGATGGCCGGCGGCGTCCTGGCACCCCTGCCAGGCCCGGACTCAGACTGCGACCCCGTTGTAACGCCTGAACTCAGCGCACGTTCGCCGAGCGCCTCAGCGCACCGGACCCTGTTTCTCCCTGCTGGGGACCCATCAGGACCCGGAGAGAAACCCCGGCTGAGGCTGTGGCTGCCCTCAAGCCGCGACAGCCCCACCGTAGGGTGTGATAACTTTTAGGGTTCACTACGAGGGACCTTAGAAATCATTGTACTCGATATTTTCGTTTTCTGTTTTGGGGATGTGGTCTTGCTCTGTCCCCAGGGGCGCGATCATGGCTCAGTGCAGCCTCGAACCCGTGGCTCAGCCGATCTCCCGCCCTGCTAATTTTTTTAATTTTTTGTAGAGACGGTGGTCTCGCCATGTTGCCCAGGCTGGTCTCGAACTCTTGGGTTTAAGTGACCCTGCGGCCTCGGCCTCCCAAAGTGCTGGGATTGCAGGCCCGCGCTCGGCCCAATCCCTTTGTTTTCTAGCTGAGGAACCGCTCTGAGGTTACGTTACTAGGTCGGGTTACTAGGTAGGGCTCCCATGAGCCCTTTCAGCCCAGCTGCCAACCCGGTCCAGACTGCCAGACCTTCAACGAAGAGTATCTTCTCAACTCCCCATCCCATTGTAAGGAAATTCCTCACACTTCTCCCTCAAAGGGGGCGCAGCTGGATCAACTCCTACTGGCTGGATTCTCTCCAGAGCTGCTAGAAGCTGCCTCTGGGGCATGAGGTAGATACAGACAGAAGCTGGGTCTCTGAGACTTTCTACAAACGTTTGCTGTTGGGCAGGCAGACCTTATTTTCTTCAGTCAACAGCTGATTAAACATTTGCCACAGGCCCGGCTGCGGTTTAGCCTCAGTAGCACAGCAGGAACTGGGGACTGAGATTCGATTTTGTCACTATGTGTACTTTTTATAAAAGATACTTTTCTGTTTCTGGACTTTGACTTATTCATCTATAAAATAGGGTTAATAATTTTCTAGTTGCCTGCACACGTTACTGAGTTTTTACCGTTAATTTGGTTATATTATCTATAGAAGGATTTGTAAAATACAAAATCATACACACCCTATAAAGAGGCCACACATCACTAGCTATCAATACTTTAGAGTCTCATTCTCCTGTTTGTTTTTTTAGAGACGGGGTCTTGCTATGTTTCCCAGGCTAAAGTACAGTGGCTATTCACAGGCACAATCATAATGCTCTTCAGCCTCAAACTTCTGGCCTCAAGGGATCCTCCCACCTCCGCTATACCTGAGACTACTGGCATGCACCACCACACCTAGCTTATTTTCTGGAAGAGTACCTAGAAGAGGTTCTACAAAGGCTTGTGGAATACATTCCTGTTTCTGAGACCAGTATTCTAGTTCCAGATTTGCCACTGGCTACAAGTGTTGAGACAGAGCAGGAACCTGTCCTAGGGGTCTGCCACCAGGTCCCCATTCAATGCACGAAAATAAAGAAACATTTGAGTCCCTTCAAGGGAGATTCCAGGCACCTAGCTAGCCCTGCAACCAGCAGTTAGGGAAGTGAATGAATGACCTGCTAAGCAAGAAAGTAGTAATAGTTTAAACAATAGTACCCAAATAAGAGTCACAAAATGTTAGCTTCCTCATAGAAACTGAAGATGACATCTTGACATATGTCCTTGAGTTTTCAGAAATCAGGACCCCCACCGATGGGGGTCACTTCCACCCTCTGGGCCTGTTTCCTCCTTACAGAGCAGACTTCCTCCAGATTGGCATCCCATGACCAAGGGTATTTCAGAGGTGGAAAGAATGGAGAACCTCTGGGATCCTATTTCCATTAAGAAGAAAAAAAAAAAAAAAGCTGAGGGGAGAGGCTGCTTGTGTGTTTGCAAATTCACGGGAAAAAATGTTAGGAGAATATTCCTCAAACTTTTCACAGTGTAAACAAAAAGGATTTGGGGAGTGGAATAGGGGAATGAAGGAGAGCATTCACATTAAATAGATCTGAATTATTTATTTTTAAAGATAATTTAATGCTTTTGTAATTGTAGAAGAAAACAAAGAAAAACTGTGGATTCTTCAGAAGAGGAGGGCAGCTCCTGCCAGCAGACCCCTACAACCCAGGCAGTCCTCCCCAGTGACTGCTATGGTGATGAACCAGGCAGAGCAAGGGCTTGAGAACCACTGGGCCACCCATCAAGGAACTCAGGAAGGAACCATGCACAATTTGACTCTGTTCCTGCTTTACCAGTCCCCTCAAGGCCACTTGTGTGACCTTTCTGTCCTGTGGACCTCTTTCCCAACCCCACAACAAGCAGTGGGCAGCGAAGCACTGAGGACACCCACACCCCACTTTCCCCATATCCTAGACTATTTCCTTTAAACGGGATTTTTCAAAAGGTTAGGACCCCTGGTTAGATCCCTTCTCACCCTCATCCTTGTCCCTAATGCCTCCAATACTAACCTAGATGCCAACCCAAGGACCTGCCCCTGCTCCCTGCCCATCATTTCCAGACATCGGCCTACTCTTTCCTGGCCATCTCCCCTTCCCTGGAAACCCTGTGTTCCCTCAAAGAGAAAAAATGTGACTGGGGCTTTCTTGAGACCACACCCTCTGTTCCCAGGCTTTGACGGATAATTTGCCATCAATTACACAGGTTTTTAAGTGACCCCATAAACCAATATGGAGCTTTGAAGCTGTTCTTTCCATCCTACACACTTTAAGCCCCACCCACACAGTTGGCATTTAATACTTATCTTAACCAAAAACAGCAGCACACAGCATTCATCCACTAAGTACACAGCAGTTGTCAAGAGCACAGGTTTCAGGAGTCAGACAGACTTGAATTTGAATCTGCCTCTGGTGATTACCAGTTATATGACTGTGGACAAATGTTTTCATATATAAAAGAAGACTACCTCCCACACAAGGACTCATGAGATAATTTAGGTAAACTTCACCAGGTGCCACTCACGTCAACAAGTTGTGGTTATTCTTATGTGCTCTGTGCTAAATGCTGGAGATATATGCAGAAATTACTAACACAGGCAAGAAAAGAACCTATTAATGCCTGGTAAAAACAGGTACTCAAATTTGTATGAAACCACCAATTCAGGGATGCATACAGGGTGACTGCTCACAGAAACCGGGAGTCCTACAACAGGCTGGCCAGGGAGGCACTGTAGGACAGAACCAAATCAGCCCCCCTTTCCTGCCTAGCAACTGACACCTGAAAAGTCTGACCTGACCTTGAGATGGAGCGGAGACCCTCTTTTTTTCTTTCTTTTTTTTTTTTTTTTTTTTGAGGCAGAGTTGTTGCCCAGGCTGGAGTGCGATGGCGCAATCTCAGCTCACTGCAACCTCTGCCTCTGGGGTTCAAGTGATTCTCTTGCCTCAGTCTCCTGAGTAGCTGGGACTACAGGCATGCACCACCGCGCCCCGCTAATTTTGTATTTTTAGTAGAGACAGGGTTTCTCCATGTTGGTCAGGCTGGTCTCAAACTCCTGACCTCGGGTGATCCACTTGCCTCGGCCTCCCAAAGTGCTGGGATTACAGGCGTGAGCCACCGTGCCCAGCCTCAGAGACCCCTCCTAGGAGCCTGCTGGGTTCTGCCCATCACTTGAAAAGCATGAGAATAAAGAAAAATGTGAGTCCATTCGAGGGAAATTCCAGGCACCTAGCTAGCCCTGCAGCCAGGAATTGGGGAAGTAAATAAATAACCCGCTAAGCAAGAAAGTAATAATAGCTTAAACAATAGTCACTCAAGTAATAGTCACAGAATGTTAGCTTCCTCAAAGAAACTAAAGATAACACCTTTTTGTTTTGTTTTGTTTGTTTTTTGGTGTGTGTTTTTTGTTTTGTTTTGTTTTGTTTTTGAGACAAGGTCTTACTCTCTTGCCCAGCCTGGAGTGCAGTGGCACCATCTCGGCTCATGGCAACCTCCGCCTCCCGGGTTCAAGCAATTCTCCTGCCTCAGCCTCCCTAGTAGCTGGGACTACAGGGGCCTGTCACCACACCCGGCTAATTTTGTACTTTTAGTAGAGACGGGGTTTCACCATGTTGGCCACGCTGGTCTTGAACTCCTGACCTCAGGTGATCCACCCGCCTCAGCCTCCCAAAGTGCTGGGATTACAGGCATGAGCCACCATGCCCAGCCTAAAGATAATATC